CCATACTCAAAGGAGTTTCCACCCGCTCAGCACCGCCCAATGGGGACGGGATTTTAACACCCGGACCCTTGGGGAACACGGCGAATCCCACGTTCCGTCCACAGCACGTTCTCAGGTGGAGTTCTAAGGCCTAAAACCTTCGCTGATAATTTACAAAGTGTCTGCAGGACTTGCATGGTGTTCCGTGTGTGCTGTCTTCAGGAAATGTTTGCCCTGCGCTTGAGTGCAGAGGTGTGGGCCTCCTCGTATTTACCGGGTTAAGAAACTGAAAATGCCAAGAGTGACACAGAAATGAAGTAATTAGCTCAGGTGATCGGCATTTTTGATATTTTATGACCACTTGGTGACAGATCATGGTTGGGGTCATCTGTATTCTCTAATTACTAAAATACACCTTCACCTTTCTCGAGCTTGGTATGTTTTGGAGATAGGTCTCACCACCACATAGCAAAACGACGGTTTCCGTGTGAAGATCACGTGGATGCACTGGAGTCTCAATGTGGTTTTTTTGCATAACGTAATAGAAATTACGCTCTGAAACATGCTATTAGCTACGTACAATTGTTTACACTTAAATTTATTGCAGAAATCCTCAACTCCTAGGGCACCTGCCACCTGCGCACACGGGTGGGCGAGGTCCTCGTCCCGGGGCGCGGCTACGCGGGGCTGAGCCCAGGGGTGCGCCCGGCTCGGAAAACAGCCTCGCCGAGCTCCGACTCCCTGCGGTTTCACTTCTGTCCGCCAACCCCTGTCAGATCCTTCTTATTGGACACTAGTGACGCGTCACCCATTCTCACACTCATTGGCTGAGGAGTCCTAGAACAGCTAATCAGCGTCGTCACAGTTCTGGTTAGGAAGTTCCCGGAGCTGCGGAACTCGGTGCCCACCTCCAGAGGATGGGGGTGATGGCGCCCCGAATCCTGCTGCTGCTGCTCTCGGGGGCCCTGGTCCTGACCGAGACCCGCGCGGGTGAGTGCGGGCGGAGGCGCGGGGAGCGGCGCGGGAGGAGGTCGCGGTC